GGCACATCTCTCCTGACCTGCCCACTGCTCCCCTCAGCAGTGTACTTTGTGATCTGCCTGTTCTGCTCTCCACTCTGTGGTGAATCCTCTCACCTGGCCTGCACCCCAGTTCTGTATGCATAAATAAATAAAATCATAAAATAAATAAAAAGGAACCCCAGGGGAAAAATAAACAAGATCAGCACACACTCATACACCCCTGTCTTCCAAATTGTGAAAGGATGTCACTGATGACATATATTAGAGATGTTTCCACTAAACCGTCCCTGTCATTTCCCCAATTTTTGTGGCTTGTTTAAAAGGTCACACCTTGGGGTCAACTTATGTCTGCAAGTGGCATCATCTGTACAAACAAGAAATCCATCTATGCTGTCTCCTGCGTGTGAGTGACATTTTGTTCTCACTTGACCAAGCCCTTTTTTACTCTGAATTTTCCTCTTTTAAATACTCCCTTCCAGGTCCCACAGTGCACCCTGAAATTGACTGAGTATCCATGCTAGGATGAACCCCACTTCCACAAAAAATGCTGCTCATCTTCCTTTACCAATCTTACTTTGGAGTGTTAAGGACCCTTGTAACCTGGCGCCAAGCCGAATTTCCTTCACCCAGCCTGTCAGCAAGGCTGAGGCGGCCCTTTCGCTGTGAAGTCATACCCGGGGGACCCATTTGCTATTTCCCAGCCCACAGCCCAGTCATCCTGGGAAAGGAAGTAAGTAGGACAGACTTTATTCAGCACATTTCATATTGTTCTAGCCCAGAAGCCCCCACCCAGGCCAAGATCAGTGTAAAGGGCTCCTATATGGGCAGAATCTACACAACACAGGCGGCCTTCTTAGTAATTGTGGAGCATTTGATGCTTACAGCTTACTAGATGATGAGACCCTCGGAAAAGAGCCCCGTGGTTCTTTCACGCCAAAGCAGCGGCTGGTTCACGTAAGTCTTTCCACAAGCGCCCAAAACTTGTTGGAAAGGCCTAGAAAAGTGTGAACGCTGGGTCCTCACCCAGACTAGTGTTTACTAACCGCGCGGCCGGGGCATTCTGCTTAAACTCGGGGAGCGCGGGGACTATGGCCGGGAGTCACAGCGACCCG